AGAAGCTTTACTGATAACAAAAGCCATCAATTAACACATTTTGTATTGCTATATGTATTATGTACTGTATTCTTACAGAAAAATAAGATAAAGGAAAAACATAATTAAGAAAATCATAAGGAAGATACACTTATAGTATCTATAGAAAAAAATGTCTAAGTGACCTGTGTAATTAGAACTTATGCTGGTCAAGGATTAACTGTAGCTAGTCAAGAAAATGCCAAAAGAGAACTCATTGCTGGTTGTTATCATATTCTGGAGTGAAATTGGAATTTTATAAAATTGTACTCATAAAAGAAGCCGGAGCCATGTTTTTAGTTCACATTACAGGCCTGACTCCACATAGTTTACAGGCTAAGAGACCTGAGAAAAATGTAACTAAAGGAAGTAATCAGGATGAAGATGATTTTCAAAACAATTTAACCTGTAGTATTGCCTCAGGCTATAATATTAATAATTCTCAATTGTAACATTGGAAAGACATCAGATCATTGAAAACCAGGTTTATAATAATTCTGAATGGCTTTATGAGTTGGCCGATGTCCATTTTTACTTAAAAACATTAATTTACAGAGTACGATCAGTCATCAAACATTCATTTCTTCTTTTCCTTCATTCTTGAGGCTACATTAGGTACGACATATTCAAATATGAACACAATGGCTGCATTTCTGGTCCTGACAGAGCTTGCAATTCATTCCATGGTCTCCAAATACTTCTGACTGTGCAGCTCTTACAGGAAAAAAAAATAATGTAATGCTCTCGAACATACATATTTATTTATTTAAATATTAAATAAAAACACTCCAGGATATCAGGTACATTATAAAATATTCACAAAAACATAGCTTTTAAAAGCTAATATTTGAAAAATACGTATACATGTACGTCCCCATGCGTCCTTTCCATGTCCTCGGGGGTCAGCTTGAATATACTGAACATCTCACTTCGGAGAGCAAAATGATCATGTAATTAGTATATTGACGTCTCTCCTGCATACTGTTCCCTCAGATACCTCCGAAAGTAAGTTTCAGGAAGTTTTTCGCAGACAGGTACCCCATGTGAAATCAACCACCGAAAATCAGCCAGAGTCACAGCCCCAAGTCCTCAGAATGTATATTTAATGCAGAAGCAGATGGCTTTCCACTAGGACTGGCCGGGAGGTCGGAGGGCCATGTGCCCTCCCCGCCATGTAGGGCAGTCCCGCGCTCAGGCCTGAGCTCACCGCTCTGCAGCTCAGGCTAGCAGAAGCCACAGAGGCCATTGGAGCTGGAAATAAGCCTGGCTTTATAAATCGGACGCTGTATTTGGACTAGTGTTTTCTTTATTGTCCTAGACTGCTATGAGAGACTTTGCAAATTGTGGTTGGTAGGGCTGGATCACTGAGAGGCTTTTTGGAGTTCTGTGCTAAAGGGGAAAAAAAGCCAAGAAAACCCAGCCACAAACAAAAAAACGGGGAAAAACAGCATTACTTGTCTGACCAAAGACGAGTTGGGTAAACACCACTCTTTGCACACATATAATGTGATATTGTGCTTGTGTCTAGCATTTGTTACCACTGGGTGGATTGATCTCTCAATAATAATTACAGTCACACATGTAATTTTGTTTCACGGGATCGCTCACTATCCATATGAGAACTGAAACTGAGATATAAACCTCCTTATGAATGCCTGATACATACATCCTATTTTCAGCATTGGCGAGAGAAATGAATAATCTGATTATTTTGGCAAGATATGTAGATGTCGTGTTAACCAGTAATGCTTATCAAAGGATAACACATTTGGCAAGTCATTATTTGGCAAGAATAAAAGAGAAGTAAATCATTAGGCACAGGAGAAGTTATGGCAAAGTGCCTAGCACAGTATGTGCACTTAATAAACATTGGTTGACCCTAATGATAAGCATGGATAAATCTCGTCTCCTTCCTACAGATCCTCTTGTCTGGAATCTTCTAGCTCCAAACACACATCGGTATATCATGACAGTTCTTTAAAAATTAGATTACCTGTGTGTGATATTACTACCCACGCATAATACGTAAAGTCCTATAGCATGACAGAAACAGATATGAAGTTAATAAAATAAAGTTCTACTCCTTTTGTGAGTCATTCTAACCTATTAGTTTAGTTAAGACTGTGTGCTTCTAACAAGACTTCGTGTCTGCCCACAAATCTCTCTCCCCTGGCTTGCTAGTACTGAATCTCTCATAATTAAGGTTATTCTTTTGGGATGAGGTACCATGTCTCCAAAAGGCTCCTAAAATAGTAAAAATTCTGCTATTATTGCTCATCAACATCTTCAAGTACAAATTGGTTTATCATCTAGGCAGTCACTTAGAAAGCTCAAAGGAAATAGGACAATGAACAGGTAAGTTCGGATGAGGCAGGTCAGGGCAGAGAAGCTCGCTGAAGCTACAGAAGGTGTAGCAGACCTGCCAAGGAGCAGTGACTGGCCCCCGAGGACTCTCTCCATCCGGGATGTTTGCCCTTGAGACATGAGATAAGGTTACTGCTTTCTAAAAATAGGAAACAAATTCTCCCTACACCAGTTTTGAAGAATGCAAACTATGCCCACCTCTTTAAAATAATTTTATATGACATGAAATCATGTACACACATACAGTCACGCACATGCGATAGGTTCTGCTCTGAGGTCTTCGCTGTCTTTCACAGATTGTGATTTGCGTACTTATGTTTTTACGTCATCCAGTCCAACTTCAAAAGTTTCCGTAGAGTTTCCCGGTTTTATTTCCATAAGCTTTGTACATCCCTTGTTAAGTTTATTTTTAGGGCTCTTTAAAAAATTATGAATGTAAGCTTTCATTTATGTTTTCTAATTATTGTTTGAGATGGGGGCAGCTAGTGATTATCACTTATTAATTTCTACAAATGGACTTATTTTATTTTGCCAGTAGCCTTTCAGTTTCTTTGGAATTTTCCCCAAAATACGATCTTATCACATTTAAATTCTGCCTTCTCCTCATTTTCATATATTTTATTACTTCATTCTCTTGTTAATTACACAAGCTAGTACATTTCAAGCAATGGCAAATAACATGGGTCGCTGGGCATCTTCGCTGTGTTGCTGTAAGAGAAATGTCCGTTTTCCATCATTAGCGAACTTTTAAATATGAGCCATTTGGGGTAACATCAAGAATCTATCTAGTTCTATTTTCTAATAGATTTTAAACATCAGAAATAAAAGAAAAATCTTGTCGAGCACTTCTCAGTAGTGATGAGATGATAATGTCCTTCTCCTTTGACTTGTTAAGATGAACCATTCTTGCCTTCTTAGACAAATGCTAACGATATCTGTTCTTAATAATATTTATTTTTTTAAATTATCTTGGCTAATCTTGCATACTTATTCTTTCAGAATGAACACAAAGATAATTTTTAAGACCAGGAAGCCAATAAAATTAAGAATTTATTTCTCTTCATTGTAAGGAGATAAACTTACGATGAAGAGATCTAAATAGAAAATTAGAAAACACTCTTTTACCTAATCAGAATTACCTTAATTAGGAGTTCAGTTTTGAATGAATAATTACTTCCAGTACATGTAAATTGTTTATAGAAGGATTATTTAGTATTTGGGAGATGAAATTAAAAACAGACAAATGAAAATGAAACATAAAACAAAACAATAAAAACGAATAGATTAGCAGAACTGCTGTTGCTTATAGCTCAAAAATTACAATATACGAAACAAAGATCGAATTTAATTCCATATTTTAAAGTATATATCTACTGCATAAAACTAAGCACCTACACGATAGTTATAATGAAAATGTAATAGTATAAGCAATATGCTCTCTTACATACATAAGAGCAATACGTACTTTATCAATTCTATGATGTCCTTTTTTTACATTTTAGTATCTCTGAAATTAAGATGCAACTAAAATCTAGGATAATCATGTCTAAAATTTTAGCCAACATTTTTTCTTTGTGATGCACAAAATAATGCATTACCGTTGAAAATTGGTGGTATCTAGATTTGATAAAATACAGCAAATATCAACTTTTAAGGTTCTACAAAACAGACCTATCTCTATGTTCAACACATTTCCTTCTTTTTTAAATGCTAATACTATGTGTGGCATTGTAAAAAGTAAACTAAACTAACATTGAATTTAGACGTGAGGAATCTGAGAACTTCGGGATTCACTCTAAGATGATCAGAGGTAGCACAGGGAGTTGCAAACTAGAGGCTGAGATGTCTGGGTGGATACAGGAGTCCACGCAGATGTGCGTGCAAGCATGCAGTGCATGCCAGTGCGCAGGCTCTGGAGTCACTGGTTTCTAGCCAGTTTTTGGTGGAGTCAGTAAGTATAATGATGCCAAGGCTGACGAATTCTCAAGTGACTTTATCCAGGAAAGTAAAACAGGCGATTATTATAGTGTTTCCCAATTGGCACTGCCAGCACGAGAAGTCACTGGTCCTCTCTCTGTCTGCATCTCTTCTCTTCCCTTCCGGCTCTCCGAGAAAATGAGAAAATGTCACGGGATGTCCGTCCCGCCCATCTCATCGTCGCCTGCTCTGCTTGCTTACCTCCTCACCACAGATAACAGCAATGGACCAGTTACGACTATTCTCGGCAGAGCCCCGGATCAACAGGGCGTAGATCAGGGATCCCCCCATCACAGAAACAAACACAAAGGAAACGCTGTGAATGGGAATGGTTCTATGCAGGGAATTCGACCCAGCGAAACCGACCCACTACCACAAACCACCTTTGTCCTCCTTCCAAGTGTGAGAAAAAGAAAAGAAAAGAAAAGGATATTTGCATAAACGTGAACATCCCTGGTCACCACAATCGATCGCCACCAATTTCAAAAGGATTCTGCTAATCCTTTAAAAAATTCTCTCTGGCTCTTTTACAAATTCTTAAAATGAAAAAAGAACAGAGTCCACAGCACTTAGCCAGTTTTAATCTCATTATTAGTAGAGTCAGTGAGGGCCCTTGACTTATAATGTCAGTGTGCACTCACCTTTTGCACAGCTGCTTGAAAGGCCTGTTTAATTCTCTTGCACGAATCAGGTATCAATTTTGTGTCTTGAGTCTCCAGACTTGTGTCTTGCAAATCTGCGTTCTCATGGAGTTTGAAAATTCTGTTAATGCAGTGAGTGTCATCTTCTGATATTCTATTAGGATCCATCTGAGGGGGGAAAAAGTGTTAGGATATTAGAATGTTTAACATTAATCATTCTGCTATTTAATAAAGTGTGACTCAAGAACAAAAAAACCTCATTTTTGCAATGTCCCCAATGATTAATAGTTAATATAATCATCCTCAAATTGGAGAAAACGTTGACTTCGAATTCATTTTTATAAGTAGCTGATCATCATCTGCAACAGAAGCGTACGCGTGTGATTCATGGGGAAATTGTCACAATCATCTGACTAGGTGAAGTCCTCATGGAGGATGGGGTGGCAAGGAAGTCACACGTGGTGGAGGCAGGTAGAGAAAGCTTTTTGCCTTTACCATGCAGCATGCTAGATGGGAAGCCCCCTTAGATCTTCAAAGCATGAAGCCTACCGACATAAACCCAGTGAAATTAACATCATCTTTAATTAATTAATTAATGTGCATTTGAATCAGCCAAAGAAAAGGGGGACAGAAATCCATTTCCTGGTCCCAAAGAAAACCTGAAGCCAGAGCATGATTTTCCTTTTTGTCGATCCTCTCATCAGGATTTCTCAACCTGGCGTGGTCCATCTGTCATGGGGGTGCCTGGGAATGTGTGTGTGTGTGAGATAGGGTGTCACAGGAATGAGGAGGGCAGTGTGGGGTGAGCCGGCTATGCGGATATGTGTTGAGGGGATGCTACACTTCCTGTCCCACCCAAAATGTCCCCATCAAGTTATTAGCCGGTCATCTAATTAAACATGTGCCAACCTAAGTACTTCCTTTAGTATTACTGTTTTCTTGAGATTCTCTGCCCACTGCACCCCGGTTTCTCACAAGCCTTTGTAGTGGGTTCAACTGCCAAGTAAAGGGTAGAGATAATTAGCTGACGATTGTTTGAATAGTAAGTTTTATCTGTTGTCCTTTACTTTCAAAAAATTCACGGTACTTCGTGTACGTTTACTTATTAGTAGATACAGATTAGATGAAAAACCGGGGGAAAACAGGAAAAATTACAGAAGTTTCCAGCCAATAATACCAAGTCCCTATTCCACGGTGTAATTATCTTTTTTTTTTTCACGTTCAGAATTTTCATTTAATTTTTTTAGCAATTTATAATCCTTCCCGCCCTTTCTTTGAAGTCAGGGTGGAAATTTTCCATAATATAATTACCTTTTTTAAAGTAATCAGAAAGATGTTTGAGTTTATTTACGATCCATCATAAATAACCTGAAAAGTACCCTATCCATATCCGAAATTCTCAAGATAAAATGACAGCCTTTCGACAAATGTGCATCCACTTCTATGGATGTTATTATTCCAGTCTTGTAAAAGATAAGGCTTATCTACCTATAATCTTGGAAAGGTATCGCTCATGAAGCAAAACTCTTTGCAATCCAGATTTACTTTTCATATTTTCTTTAAAATAATTAGTAAGAATCAGAATATGTGAGTTTTTATATAAGGAAAGCTTTCAATCACATACTTCCAAAAAAAAAAAAAAAAGCTCACTTGTGCCAATAAGTTTCCACAAAACCAGAGAAGTCTGGGCCACGGATGTGAAGGGTCGTTGAGTTCAGACCTCAAGAAAGAAGGAGCATGCAAGGGCTTCAGCTGGCTCCCCACCAGGAAACTGCTGAGCTAAAGGAACAGTGTGTGTCAGAGGGGAAGTGCCTAGGGACCCTAAAATTGGTTCAGCCCAAGTCCTACCGACAAGCCAAGCATCACCTGTCAGAAACAGCAGTCTCGAACACTCTCATTACTGGAAGTGAGGCCCAAACACCTGCAGCATCTCAGGCTCACGGGGAACTGATTAGGAATGCAGAACTCAGTCACCCCCCTCACAACCCTGCCCTCCTCTACCTTGCACCCGGCCTGGGAATCTGCATTCTAAAGAGATCCCAGGTGATTTGGATGCACATTAGCGTTTGACAAGTAACACTTTCAAATCTCAAACGAATACAGATTTTCTACTATTAAATGACTCGAGATTTCCTTGGACATCAATTTTAAAGTGTTTTCACAAGTAACACCAGTTAGTACCAGAGTACAGCAACACTTATCAATGGTTAATGACCTCACGCAAAGAAATATGATGCAAAGTTTCCTCTCCCCATAAAAAATGTCCATCTCCAGATCCCACTCCCATTTAATCAGCATCCCGAAGGGCAGGGGCCACTGGACTCTCTCCCACGCGTCTCAATGCGCCACTGAGAACCACGGCTTCAGAAGACAACATCAGAGCTAAAACATATAAAACATCACAAACTATCGTCCCAGAAGACATCATGACAGCATAGCCTAACTAATTTTGATATACTCATTTATTTACTTTTTTTTACTTAAGTGAAATTTATTTTTAATCTACAAATAACTGTCTTTCCCACTTCAGGCCTCTGGCAGCTCTCGTTTCTGAGAATGGAGACCAGGAATGGAGGCCAGTAGGGAAGGGGGGCGTGGAGGTGCGGGGCGGCACACGCACATCCACCAGGGCCCCTGCTGCGTGATCTCCCTGCCAAGGAGCAGCGGGGCTGGGCGCGGGACTGGAGCTGGACACCCCGCAGTGCTCATCCACTCACTGACAGGCTGTACCTCCTACCCCACAACCCGCCTCCTGACACAGCAGTCTGAATCATTTACATATTAGCTCATTTACATAGTGCAAATGAGAAATGGATCTATTTCTAGTGTCGAAAAGCTTTCTCGGTGAACTAAACATGCCAAAGACTGGGCTAGATGCTACGAAGAAGGTAGTGAGCAAAACAGTCTTTACCTTCTTGGAATTTCTACTCCACAGAGAAACACAGAAATTTATTTAAAAAAAAAAAAAAACACTGTAAACTGAGTTACAAATGGGTTCGCTGTGCCTAGAAATGTCTGACAACGTTAAATAAATCTTGACTATCTGACTTAAAACAGATTTGTAAAATGCATTTATCAGATGATATAGTTCATATGAAATGAACTCAGTCTTTTAAAAAAGTTAAAAAAAAAAAAACTTCCTTGAAACTTAATCGTGTGTAGGTTTAAATGAGGCAGGATGCTTGACATTTGTGCTACTTCGTTATCTGTCTTTTCAAACCAGCAGCCCGCACACCTCTGCATCAGATTTTCAGTAGTGACTGCTGCCCTGTTTGGGTAGCAAACAGCCAGGGAGGTCGATGTGCATCATGGGGGATCAGTGTGCACAAAAGAGCAGCAGAGACTGAGCTTTCTGAAAAGCTTATCTCTAAATTTTGAATATGGTTATAGAGATGTTAAAAAAAAAAGTGCACATAAATTTTACAACCAACTTTTCGAAAGTTTTTTTTTCTTTCCTTTTTTTTCTTTTTTTTTCTTTTTCTTTTTTTTTTTTTTGTAAACCAAAGTATGAATACTATGTGGTAAATATATAGCACAAGCCACATGGTATTTTTTCTTTGGCAAGGTTGGTGGGGAAAAAGCCAATCTACACTGGATCTAGTATTTTTTTTTTAATCTAGGCAACAGCAATCTACAAACATTCAGAAGGCTGATTCACTTTTAACTATTCAAACATGAGTTGAGAAGGAAAAAAGAAATTTTTTTTTATGTCACTGTAATTTTTATTTATTCTGGGTATTCTTCTAAATGCATTTAAAATGAAACCGAACTGTTTTTTCTTAAGGATTTGTATGCCCTTTCTCCTTAAATAAAAACAATAAAACTGGTCCCTTGCTCTCATTTTTTTCCTGTAAACTGCAAACACATTACCTGATGCTAGAGGATTTAATTCCAGTTCAAATGCATTCAGAAACAACTTTAGGAGGAGTCAAAAAATGATCTCTTATTTGGTGCCCAGTTCTAATCAAAGGAGTTGACATAAGTGAAAATGTTAAGTCGGTGACAGGTCCCATAGAGTCTCTTCTCTTCTCTAGAACTTTGAAAGAAAGCCTCCAGCACATATAAAAGTGGAAAAATATTGTAGCGCAAACTCCCACGTACCCATCATGAGCTTCAACCATTGCCAAGGCCAATCTTGCTTCATCTCTAAGCAACCACTTCCCCTCCCCCACCTTCCCCACCAATTATTCTGAAACAATCTCCAGACATCACAGCATTTCATTTGTAACTACTTCAGTATGTATCTCTAAATGATTAAGCTTCCTCTAGGTATCAAACTTAGATACCATAGTCAATAATATGCAGCCGGATCTGGTGGTGTATTCTTATGAATACATTGCTCTTTATCTTACTTCTTTCCTAGAGATGACCTTTTAAAAATGCAGCACAAAATTGGGTTCAGAGGAATGGCTAACATATTTTGCATAAGTCTTAGAGAAACTCAATCTTCATGCCATTTAGGAAAATTGTACCCAGAAATCTGATGGCATTACATTCTCCAAATGAAAATGTTCTAGCTAGGCTTACTAACCTACATGTTTACTTTGGAAAAAGTTTTGAGAGTTTCACTATTATCTATGGACAGCAAGACCGCTAAGTTATGATGAGTGATCCTCAGCCCGCCAGACTATTGATATTGAGAATTCCTACCAAGAAGCCAAACAACCATAATAAGAGCCCAGCAAGTTACTCTCCTACCTGGCCATGTCGATTTCCATGGTTCTAGCCGATCTAAGCTGCTCATGGTCCCTAGAACTCATTCATTCCCTATGGCTCTTTCAATGCCAAACACTCACTTCGCTATTACCACTATGAAAATGCCAAATCCCTAGGGCGTTAGGAAAGATAAAGGATAGAGAACTAGAGCATCTTCTAGTCCTTTTCTGAATGCTGCTCTCTGGTTTGACTAAGAATGTTAAGCCTTTTGTGGTAAGCGTCTCAATTACCTGGCCCACGGCATGCACAGTCAGTGGACATTGTATTTGGAATAAATGATTCTTAGCCCATATCCCATAGCAATTAATAGTGCCCTGTGCAATGCAGGCACTCAACACAGAAGCATTGGGGGGGTGGGGGAGCAACATGGATGGGAAAATATATAAACCACTCATTCTTTACTGCAAAATGTTCCAGTGAAAGAAAAAACATTTCATCGCTTTCATGCAGATTTGTTTAATCTGTGTTGCAAGTAAACCACTCAAAAGTTATTTTATAGGGGGGGGGGAAAAACCTCTCGATAGGTAAAGATTATTTTTATTACTATACAGTCAAACTAGTTCTATAAAACGCAAACTAGTGGACAATGAATATTTAACAAAAAGCCTATGATTACAAGTAATGGAGTTCAGACTCTTGGCACATGTCAAAAACCCATCCGACCCGAGCAATGCCATGTTTTTACGCGTCCAGTTTGGTTTAGTAATCACCTTTGAATCTGAAAACCAATGAAGTCCAAACCCAACTCTCTTTTCCCATAAAAAAATGCACAGTCAGCCCTCCACTTCCTCTGAGAAAGAGTTCACAGCAACAAACGAGAATATTTGAATGAATCCAACCAACTGCACTGCAATTTCCAAGAAAATACAAGAGCATAAACCACCAGAAAGCATAATATGACACATTTACCCCTTCCTTTCTAGCTCTCGCTAGTTCCAAGCTGGCTTCCTCGCCTTTTAAAAGGCTGGTTATTTGTTAGACTGCAGCGAGACTTGTCAGGGACGAGAACGTCCCCACCTTCCCACACACCTTGCTTCCTTCCTCCGCCCACCTCGGTGGAGAGACCCAGGGTCCTTCCCTTCTCTTTCGCCCAGCGCAAGCTGACCCCGGGGTCGCGCTGGTCATTAGGCGCATCTGAGGGCTTGGGGCATCACCACCCGAGGCTCCAGCCGCCGCCCCCGCCCCGAGCCTACCTGTAAAGCAGCCAGCCCAACCCCTCCAGGTGGTGGGCGGGAAGGGGCAGGAAGGTTCGGTGCCTGAGGGAAGGCGCTCTGTTTTTTCCCAAAGGGACATAAGTTAATTCTTAGCTCCCAGCGAGACATGGAAGGGGAGGAAAGTGCGTGATCACTTCCAGAAGAGGTGAGCGGCCAATGCTGTGTCGCCGGGGGAAATTCAAACCACTAGGACGCGCCCCGCGCTGCGGCGCCGGGTGCGTGCGCGGGGGCCAGAGGCCAGGGCGCCGGGCCCCGCGCCAGGCTGTCCCCGCGCCGGACGCCCTCTCGTTAGAGTCACTTTCCTCTCCTGAATATGCAAGGGCTGGGGGGTCCGAGCCAGGCGGCCAGACCCAGG